GCTTTCCTTCCAGTCCCATTTCCCCATCCCTGAGTGGCCCACTTCTCCCTTCCACATAAACTTGTCTCAGTCTCCTCTTGGTGAAACCCAAGCTGAGCCAAGGACAAATATTAATACTCACCCTGAGGGTGACTGTGAGAGTGAGGGACACATCACCAGTGTAATACCCCGCAGACAGTAGGTATTTCATAAAGGTCCCTGAGCCTCCCCTTCTCGATATACTTTACCAATAACTTTTTCTAAAAGGCTAAGCACAACCCTTAATCTACAAGAAGATGAATGAAGGAATTTGTAAGTTTCCAGAGGGTCACTGCTGTTCTGTAAGTATGGTGATCTTTCTGAATATTTCATCACTGTATTTCCAGTCAACTCCATGTATACTGTACATCCTCTATGGAAATGTCTTCCTGCAGTAATATGCATTTTTATATCCAGACATTTTGGACAACTGTTTACATTTAAAAAGCTCCATAGAGGGAACAGGGTAGGGTATAGGGCATAGCATCACACTATCTTCCTCTAAGATTCTTCTAAGTTTATTATGGAGAAGGAAATTCATCCAAGGTGAAGAGTTCCTAGGGCTCACTAGGTAATCTCTGACTTAAGGTCAACCTGTGGCCACGGAGTAATCACAGAGCCTGGTCAGCTCTAATCCCGGGCTGAGGTTGATCAAAAAGAGCAGGAGATAACTGTCAGTCAAATCCATTTCTAGCTGCTGAACAAGCCATAAGAAACTGAAGACTTCAAATGGGAGCGAAGCTAACACCAAAAAATATAAACTCCATAGGCCTTTCCCAGAACTAACAATAAACAATAAGTAAAAGGATGGATTTGATGCAATTATTGGTTATCTTTTTATTTAGGATTCATACTGAATTATTCTAATGTACACAAATGTTTACTTCTTGCATCAGTGCAATGACAGAAAAAAAATGACTGATTAAAATTGCTTTTGGAGCACTCAATCCTGTACATCAAAAACACGCCTCGATTTCAAGCATGAAAAATCTGTTGATATGCTCAGGGAATTCTAAATAGCTCAGTTTTACAGCAAACATCATTATGAAGTTTGATCTAAGGGACCTTAATTGCTGCTAAGTGCACTGTACAACTAATAGAATCGAAACGAAGAGGCAGTGTAGATGATACCATAAACCTTAAGCAGGTCAGGCCCTGGTGAATCAAAAAAGAGAAGTACTGGCCAGGGTTTGCTGAAGCGGGATCATAGACAGAAGCATGGGGGCTCCTGGACATCTGTCAGGAGGTGTAGCTGCAGGTTCCGCTCTCAACAGGCGGCTGCAGCCATTTGTGCCATCAGGAGCTACCCAGGTGACTCATGCACAGTATTCTTTAAGATCCATCATCCTGTATGATGGAGAAAAGAGGAGGATTTTAAAATGGAAAAACTTGAGTTTAAAAAACAAATACATCTGCACTCCCCCGGTACTACCGCAACTCAGAGCTGGTTTTGATTACCACCTTAGTGAGGGAACTCTGAGAAGCAATCCTCGCCTTGTGGAATTAATGTCATGCACAGGACTGAAGATAGCAAGCCAAAAGTAAGACAGCCTTTGTTAATTTGGGATGCTGTCATTGTCCAAATGACCTCCCTGTTTTCAGGAGAGGACACAATGTGTCACACTCTCTGGGCTCCCGCAGTATGAGCTGCTGGAACCCTTGTTGCACCACCCTCCCTGCCCACATCGGAAAATCAGGGTGCAAATGTGAGCGCACAAGCACCTGCTGGGTCAGGCAGGTCTCCACCTTCAGATCACTGGGGGTTTGCTTTGGTTTGGTTTTGCTTTTGCAATGGACTTAATAAAATCTTTTTTAATCATTATGTAATAATTTTACCAGATGAAGTTTGCAAAACAAAATGAACATATTCACCATGAGGTACTAGTCCATATCACGACTTGATTCTTTTTGTTTGTTTGTTTTCTATTTTCTTTCCTTTCCTTCTTGTTATCCCCTCCTAACCCCAAAAACATTCTCATCTGGACAAAGACTATGTCTCTCTTTCCTTTATCTTTCTTTCAGTTTATACTTTAAATTACTTACACTTTCATTTTCTTACCAAAAAACCCAAAACAAAACAAAAAAAACATATGGCACTTTCTGTTCTGTGTCAGCTCTACTTCACTGAGCATTATGGACTCAATTTGCATCCATTTCTCTACGAGTGACTAAAGTTTATACTTTCTGTGACTGCATATGCTCCTTCATGTATGCATACCACATTATCTTCATTTATTACTCTATTGATGGGCATATAGACTTCTCTTATAGTTTAACTTTTACAAATCGTGCTGCCATAAACATTGGTGTACAAGTGTCACCACTGTATTATGATGTCTTTAGCTCTTTCAGGAAGATACCTAGAAAAAGAATAGCTGCGTCAAATAGAATTTTTGTGCTTAGCTTTTTTGAGGTATCACCATACTGATTTTCATAAAGATTTATACTAGTTTACATTTCCACCAACAAAGCAGAACGTTTCCCTTTTCCCTATAACCTTGCCAAAATCTGCTGGTGTGTGTGTGTGTGTGTGTGTGTGTGTGATGACCTTTGAGAATAAGATGAAGTCTCAGAGTTGTTTCAATTTGCCTTTGTCTAGTAGATAATGATGTTAAACATTCTATTCATGTGCCCATTGGTCATTCATACTTCTTTTAAGAGGTGTCTGTTCTTTTTAATTTCCCATTTTAAATTAGGCTTTTTCCTTTTATATATATATTTTCTAGATAACCCTCTGTGGAATAGCTGGCAAAATAGTTTCCTACTCTGTACATTATCTCTTCACTTATTATTCATTTCTTTTGCAGTGCAGAAGCTTTCATTTTGATGTGATCCTATTTATTGATTGCCAGTTTACTTCTTGAGTGGCAGGGGCTCTGAAAGATTTTGTTTGTGCCTATGTCTTCAAGAATTATACTTATTTTACCTCTCAGTAAAGTGTTTCTGTTTGTACCTTTAGGTCTTTGATAGATTTTGATGTTAGTAGAAATACGGATCTATATTCATTGTTTTGTATGAATAACCAGATTTTTTTCAGCACCATTTTTAAAAAAGCTAACTTTACTCCAACATATATTTTTGGCCTCTTTGTTGAGGATCACATGGCTGAATGTACTTGAGATTGTTTCTGAATTCTTAATTCTGTTCCATTGATCCACAATCTGTTTGTGTGTCAGTAAAATATTGTTTTCATTATTGTAGCTTTGTAATTACAGCTTCTGTCTTAGTTACTTTTTACTGATTGCCAAGACAAAACACCTGATGCACCAAATTGGAAAAGGAATCGTTTATTTCTTACAGTTTTTGGAGGTTTCAGTCCATACTCAGTTGGCTCCAAGGAAGTGGGGCATGGCAGGGCCACAGTTCATGGCGGCTGCAAACAGCAAGGCAGAAACCAGCAAGAGAGCGAGACACACCTTCTTCCTGCCATTACATCACATCCTGGCTCCACCCCTACGTGGGTGTAGCACTGACACCATCAAACCAAGCACTAGACAATGAACCAATCACAAAGGCACAATGTAAAGGCATGAGTCCTGGGGGCCACAGACATAAACCATGGCAGCTTGAAATCCAGCACTGTGATACTTCCCACTTTTCTCTCATTCCTAGGATGGCTTTTCTATTCTAGATCTCTGCTGGTTTCATGTAAATTTTAAGACATTTTTCCTAGTTCTGTGAAGAATGCTGCTAGTATTTTAACTGGCATTGAATTAAGTCTACATATCATTTTTGGAAATAGGGCCATTTTGAAAATATCAGTTCTACCTTTCTAGGAAAACAAAGAATGCCTTTCCATTTTCTGTTATCCTTCCAATCTCTTTTTACAGAGTACTATAGTTTCTATTACAGAGTTCTGTCATTTCCTTGGTTAAGTTAATTCCTAGCTATTTAATTTTTTGAGCCTATTGGTGACTGCTATTGTTTTTCAGGATCTTATTTTGGCATGAAGTGTGTCTCCTGCAGGCAATGCACAGTTGCATTTTATTTGTTAACTTTTGTGAAATCTGTCATTATATGTCTTTTGATTGAGGAATAAAGGCCATCAGCATTAAGAGTTATTACTAAGAGGTGTTCCCCCAAACCCGACATTGTATTGATTTTCTAGTGCTAATTCCTTTATGTCTTTCTCTTTTGTTTTGCTGCTCTCCTAGTGAGATAATGCACTTTTCTTTTAGCCCTTTGGTGTTTCTGCTCTTCCCATGTCTGTCTAGAATTCCTTCATGTATTTTTTCCCAATGTTGGTTTAGTGATCATGTATTAGGACTTATCTGTCATGTAAAACTTTTACTTCTCCACCAATTTTCAAGAATATAGAAGTCTGAGTCAATGACATCTTAGGAACTAAAAATTTCCACTCTAGGCTCTCTTGTCCTTTGAGGATTGTACTGTGAAACCCGCATTATTCTCCTAGGCTTGCTTGCAGAGAGCGACTTCTATCTTTTTCTCATTGAAAAGCATTGTCCTCTGAGGTCCTGACTCTGCACTGGTATTAAAATGCCATACAAGTGCTTACAGACTTCTGGGGGGCTTCCCTTATGCCCTGCAGCAATAACATGAATCAGTCAGCTGTCACCTGCAAGTGGTGTGCAATTTGAGATAGAGGGTAGGAGGGGCTGACTTGGGCCTCCACTATTGCAAAATAGCCAACTCTTCAATCTTCATCTTTAAAGTGATGTCATCTGCCTGCAGTTCCCCCAGCACCCAGGAAAACATTAAAAACAGAGCACCAGTGCAACCCTGTAATCTCAGCACTCTGGAAGACTGAGGCAGGTGGTTGTCAAGTTCTAGCCCAGCCTGGGCCACTTAGTGACCTTAGCAAAACCCTGTAACAAAATAAAGAATAAAGACAGGGCAGCAGGTATAACTCATTGCAAAGGTTCAAGGTTCAATCTCCAGTACCAAAACAAAATAAACAAATCAAAACAGACCTTGGCACACCAAGCTGTCTAGAGTAAAAGCAGCATTAAGGTTCTACTTACTTTAGATAGCTTTTGCCCTCACACATTCTAGTCTGCTTATTCCTTATTATCTTACGATAATACATTTTGATACATTTAGAAATAATTTGTTATCTTCTCTTAGAGCAAGGGGTTTTCCTCTTCCTTGCACTGTCCTTTCACTGGCAATATGGTCCTTCAGCTTCCCAGCTTTCTAGTGGATTCTCCACCATGCACCTCCTCCTCTCCACGCAGTTACACCAGTGCCCTGTTTAGTGCCATTTCTCCACTGGGTGAGTGTTAACTTGCTTTTGTAATTTTTATTGTCTTGTTCTGTTTTGCTTTCTTGAGAAAAATTTCTTGCCATCTCAGCAAAAGACAGGGTTTTATCTCATATCGGTAGGTGCTTTGGGAAAGACTTTTGGTTAAGCTAGTCAATAGATCTCTAATTATGGGTATTTAAGAATGGGAATTTTATTTACAGAAACTTAAATGTTTAATATAGTTGCATATATCTATTGTGTTCCTGATAGCATGGTTTTTTTAGTGTCATTTTTTAAAAATCTCTGAGTTCTGCTTTTCCTGTTTTTCTTCCTCTGGAACTGATCTTTGTACACTGTTTTGATCTGGTATACACCTAATATTTGCTTCAACAAATATATTCAGATCCTCCCTTTGAGGCACATAGTGAGACTATGTCCTGATTCTCTTGGGGATAAAGCCAAGCTGGTTCAGGTCACACACTGAAGATTAGTGTCTGTGGCTCTCAAGTTCAGGTTGGGGCATAAATGTCCAGGGCAAGACCTTTCCTATCTGTTTTTGGCAGAGCAGCTCTCTCTGTCCTGGTGGTGGCTCTTTGTCAGCCTGGAGAATGTGAACAGTCCTAGGCAACACACAACTGATGCATAGTGTGATCTCAGTGACATCACTGTCATTCTATGTCACACAGTGTATCCCAGCATTACTGATATGTGTAACCCTGAGAGGAATGAATTTATTTTTCCAAACAAATGATGAATTATTTCATCATCACTCACTGAATAGGTCATCTTTCCCCATTTATTTACTAATAGTTATTAAAACAAAATGTTTCATAGTCTGAATATAACCAATGGAACCTCAACTATCTCTATTTTTTTTTTTTTTTAATCTTTTTCATTTTTGTCGGTACCGGGGATCGAACTCACGACTGCCTGCTTACAAGGCAGGCGCTTATGCCACTGAGCTAAATCCCCAGCCCCTCAACCAGCTCCTTTTAATTAAACTAACTTTATATGACAATGTTTCCAATACAGATATGGAGATATCCCCAGGTTAATAATGAAAGAAGGTAGATGATAGGTGTTTAGCATATACTCTGTAAGCTCTGTGAAGAAAGATTAACAAGATTTCTCTAGAGAATGCTTTTCTGAAAATGCATTTGCATAGGCTGGGGGGCAGGTGATGATGGGAGGAGTAGATTGTTGATAATGGGAGGTCACACACTCCAGTTTAGAGAGGAGTAAGAATGGAAATGACCTTGAGCAGTGCAGTTTTCTTTAAACAATGGCTTTCTTTAGGGGAAAAAGCTCTCTGTACTCAAAACAAGACAGTTTCTTCAGGTGGGTTTGAATTTGGACAGAAAAGATAACACCCCGGGAAGGCAAGGCTATAGAGATTGCCACATATGATTGCACACCCCAAAAGTGATCCTGCAGTCACCTCATCTTTATGCATGACCGAGTGTGTGTCCTGATAGGAATTTAACAAGCATGTTACCCTCTTCTGAGTGCTGCAGATGACAATTAATGGCACGTTTCTTATAAACTGTTCAAATCAAAACTCTGTGTCCAATGAGAAACTTTTTTTTTACATATATGAAAACTAGAAAATGTTGGGACCAACATCTTATGGAAGCTACTGAAAAAGCATGGAAGAGGCTTTATATCTACATGAAACGTGGATGGGAACCCGGCAAATTTATTAAAAACAAGTGAATTTAGGAAAAGGAGACCATCCTCTCTCTTGCCTCATCTCCTTTTATCAATAGATAGAAAAGTGATAATAATTTGGTTTCTATCTTATTCTTTCGTCTTTGTTTTATAACTAAAGCAGAGGTTCATTACACACAGGAGAAGAAACAGGCTCTGTAAAGTAAGTTTGAGTCAAGTAACAGCAGGGAAAGAAGCATGCCCGTAGCATAAGGGCGGGGTTACCACTAGAAGCCATGAGAACGTTCACAGCGTGCAACCACAGCTTGTGCTGTAGCAAGAGTGCAGTGAGACCTGTCTCAGGTTTTCCCATAAAATTCCATCGCAAAATCATATGCTAAGGACACAGGTATTGGTGGAGTACTTAACTACCATGAAAAGGTGGCCTTCATAGCTCAAAGTTTCTTAGACTGGAATGGGTAAAATACCTGACTGACCAGTAAGCTAGGTCACTTGGTTTTCTGAAATCCAACAGAAGAAATGTTCTGCTCTGTTCAAGTAGGTTGTCATGAAACATGTATTCTACCCTGGCATCTCTCCTGCCTGCATAGACAGTAATACTCAGGGATGTGGCAGGATACTGCTAATGTGATTCTGTCTGGATCAACAGGTCCTTTTTGCTTTGTGAAACTAACTAGCAGCATTCAAGGAAAGATTTTCAGTCTGTTAAATGAGACTGCCACCTTTCTAGCCCTCTCTTTGATTTAAAAAAAAAAACATCTTCCAAGTTTCTGCAGGCTAGTATAAATTTACCTCAAGCTAACAGCTCCATTAAATCAGAAAAATAAAGGGTGCTTTTCAACTTCTGTGCAGCGTCGAGGTGAAGTCTATGAGGAAACTCATCATAGAATATAAAAGCAGTAGATTTTTTCAGGTGTTCGGATTTATTTTTTTTTAAACTCATGTAAAGTCCTAGTGGAGGACAAACCCTTCTGTGAAAAGACAAATGACAGTTTCTCACGGCTGGCTTTCTGTCTGGGTCAGAGTGAGACAGTGTCAGAACGAAAGCTTCTAACTCTTTTCTAAGCTCTGCTTTGCCATCTGTGGAATAACTCCTGACAATCCGACACACACGTGGGACCCTATTTTACCCTTTGTCTAAGAAAAAGAAAAACACAAAAAGAGACACAAAACAAATGCAGTGAATTTGCTGTGGAAAGACAATTAGAAAAAAAAATCCATCTTAACATTCTCTAGATCAAGTAGTTTTCAAATTATTACCTAAGGCCATTGTTCCCTCCTGTGTTACTCCTGTAAATAAAAACTATGAGTTGCCACTAGTATGTTATCCCAAGTACTCAGCAGCCCTGCTTCTTTTTCTTTTCTGGTTGCCACGTTCATTCACTCCGTAAGACAATGGTTAGACAAACACGGGGTTATACAATGCACCATGAAATGAACAGCTACTTTGAAGAAAAAGAGACACTAAGGTACTCAGTGCTGATTCCGTAGCGTCATGATGTGAAATCCAGCGATACTATTAATCTTTGTTCCGAGTGATTTTAGTCTGGTTTTTGTTTTGCTTAATTTCAACATATATGAAGGTATGGACAGCTATTTTGAAGAGAATGAGAGACTCTATGGCAGCCATTGTTGACTTCTTTATTGTCTGGTTTTGATGACCAAAAATGCCTTCATCATCCTGGTCTGATCAGCTTTATTCCATTTTGTTTTGTATGAATTCACTGTATGTGAAGATATGGACAACTATTTGGAAGAAAACAGAGACAATAATAGACAGTGAACATGTCCGGTTGTCTTGCTTTGAAATTTGTGTTTCTTACATTGTTTTGTTACGATCTGTTTTGTTATGTTTAACTTTACCCTATTTAAAATAAAATTTTAAAAAACACTGGGAAATGGGCCAGCTCATAACTCTCAGCCCTATTATCTTAATAGGACTTTCCAGAAATCAGGCGAATAAAGATCATACCAATTATTCTGTTCTTTCAGTTCTCAGTGACAAGAAAGCATCTGTTAATGAGATTTCAGTATTGATAGATATCAGCATTTTCCAGAAAGAAGATGGTATCATTTTCAATGTGCAGGAAACAATTTTTTGATGGATAGTCAGGTTCAAATGGCAGAGGAAATATAAAATGATAGATCTAAAAATTATGGTCAAATAGGCTGATGATTTATTTTCCCCATTTCTAAGCAGTAATAAAGTATGTTTTTATGATCCTTCCCATATAGAGTCAGCAGGTATTGCAAAAAAATATAAATTTAATAATGTTAAATGATTTCTGTACATAAAAGATATACAGCTTCTCAAAATATTTGGATACATATAAAATTAGCAGTAGCTGGAACCAAAGTTCAGTTAGAGAGTCATAAAATACTTGTGTTGCCCTTTTCTGTTTTTCTCAACTGGCACATTTATAGGAAGGCAATAACTTTCAAAGAAGTTCAAAGCTGGGCATTGTGGCGCATGCTGTAATCCCAGCACTGAGAAGGCTGAGCCAGGAGGATTTCTGTGACTTTGAGGCCAGCCCGCTGTACAAAGTGAGTCCAAGGCCAGCCTGAACTCCATAACAAGACACTGTGTCAAAAAGATAAGAAAGAAAAAAGAAAGAAAGAAAAAGAGAGAGAGAGAGAGAAAGAAAGAAGATAGACAAAAATATGTGCTTCAGTGGAAAAGTATGGTTATTTAGATTACAACTTTTGAGATAATTTTATTCTAGTAATTCACTGTCTCTTCAGCAATCTTACAATTTAGAAATTGAAAATAACTTTGGAAATGCAAAACACCACCCTCATTCAGTCCATCGGAGTATTTGAATCCAATAATTTCATCTTTCGTGATCATTCACACAAGTGCGCAACCTGGGACTTAGAAAACATTACTATTTCCCCTCTCACCATCCCCAGCTTATCCCATAGCAAGTTAAATAACATCCCAGTGTCCAACACAGGCTTCAACTACCCTTCCCAAGCCACCATCCTTTCTCACTTGTAATAATGATCAGATGCAGGACTTAAAACCTTGAACTTCTCCCCACTTCGTATCCTCCAGTGGCTTTCCATCACACTTAGAACAAAATTACTACGCTTGCCCAGGTGACTTCTGAGGTCCTAAACATTTTTCCTTCTCTTCACACACACACACACGCACATGCACACGCACATGCACGCACGCACACACGCACACAGTTTTCTTCTCCATCTATTCTCTTTCTTGCTTGTTTTAACATGAAGCTATCAAACTTAACTCTAGACTCAACCACTTTACAATTGCTTCTTTCTTCTCTGAGAAACACTTTCTGATTTTTTTTTTCTGTTTCCTTTTCAAAAACTGCTGACATGGCACCACTTGAGAGATG